TCCCCGAGAGCCCACAGCCATGCTCTCCCCGGACCATTCTCAGAATTCTCACTCAGAAATAGAGAAAAGGGAAACACTAGAGAAACTCAGAAGCTACTTAACTTGAAGCTCCAGGTTTCTTTTAGCTACAAAATTCTTTGACTAGATGAGTTTTTTCCTACCCATTATTTTTGTGGTCAGAAAGGAAACAGCATTTCATTCCGAATTAATGTTATTTTTATAAAACCTCAAAATCCTTTGCTCTAGGCTCCCAAGATCGTTGTTTCTGAACTGGGTATCACTGTGGAATTCCAGCCGGTCTGGGGATCTACCCATTATTTTTGTGGTCAGAAAGGAAACAACATTTCATTCCGAATTAATGTTATTTTTATAAAACATCAAAATCCTTTGCTCTAGGCTCCCAAGATCGTTGTTTCTGAACTGGATATCACTGTGGAATTCCAGCCGGTCTGGGGATCTACCCATTATTTTTGTGGTCAGAAAGGAAACAACATTTCATTCCGAATTAATGTTATTTTTATAAAACATCAAAATCCTTTGCTCTAGGCTCCCAAGATCATTGCTTCTGAACTGGGTATCACTGTGGAATTCCAGCCGGTCTGGGGATCTTGCATGCTGTCGGGCAAACAAGTGCGGAGGCTTCTGAGCCCTCCCTCCTGGGCTGCGTGGGGTCAGGACTATATATCCAGCCCTTGGGCTCCTCTCCTTTGCATTTCAAATACCAGCTGACTTTTGTTAAAACCAGCTCCTCATGTTTGGCACCAGCTGTGAGCCCTGTGGACCTGGACCAGAGCTGCCCCCTTTCCAGGACGGGCACTAGCATGAAAGGTGGTGTAGATCACGGCCCCCGGCAGACACACATTTGGGCTTCTTACTAAAATACCGCGTGGTTTTCATGTGTAATAAAGACCTTTTCATCTTCCCATCTTTTCGGCCAATTTTTCTTCTCTCAAGGTGGTCTTGGAGAACAAGGAGCTTCTCTGTGACCCACGGGGCCACTGTGCAAATAGTGTGTGTACCTGTCGTGCTGTTTGGTTTTTGGCTTCCGTGTTTGCTCATTGCGTTCCTCCTTGAATTTCTCAGCTACTGTCAGCGTGTCAGCTGCCTCCAGGACACTCTGTGGACCCCAGGGGTTGACGTTAGATGCCCGGGAGTGATTCTACTTCAGGAGGTGGTGGAAACTTACACTGGAATGTTCTTGAGAGCTGGGAATTTCTGGGTAGCTTTGCCGTTAGCATAGGTTGGTTTCTCAGTTAATCCCATATTCAAATTTTAACCCTGGCATGTAATTGCTGTGAGATCTTGGGGGAAATACGTAGCCTTTCCAAGCCTTGTTTCCTTTGGCTACAAAACAGGGATAATTTTAGCTCCTCTGTCTCCAACTGCAGAAGATCATGATAAATATCCAAAAAAAGAGTAATATGTGAGTATTTTGTAAATGGTGGAGTAATTGAAAACCCTGTTCAGTCTGGAGTGGACACTTCATTTGTCCTGCAAGTATTTCAGAGGGCCAACCGAATACAGGACTGGGCTGGCCCGTGTTCTAGAAAGGCACACAAGGTGCCCCTTCCCCATGCTGTGGGGCCTGTGCCGCTGGTGAGTTGTGGGGATGGGAGGTCAGGAGACTGGGGTGTAAATCTCTGGGTGCTCACCGGGGTTCACAGGTAACTGTGCTTCCCTCTGTGGTGGTGCACTGTGCCTCGAACCCCGGGCCACATTCTGCAGCCCTGCATAGGGTCTAGAGGCGGTCATGCCATGGGGCAGAGACCAGCTCTAACCCTAACCTGTGACCTTTTTGAAATACCCATATGGTTGTGTGCTGGCTTTTACCCGTTGCCACATATAACCCGACACAGGCATCAAAGACTGGAATTTGGGGCGCCTGGGTGGCTCAGTCAGTTAAGCGACTGCCTTCGGCTCAGGTCATGATCCCAGGGTCCTGGGATCGAGCCCCGCATCGGGCTCCCTGCTCCGCGGGAAGCCTGCTTCTCCCTCTCCCTCTGCCGCTGCTTCCCCGGCTTGTGCTCTCTCTGTCTTTGACAAATAAGTAAAATCTTTAAAAAGAAAGAAAAGAGAAGCCTTAGAATGAGAGAAAAAGGGATGCCTGGGTGGCTCAGTCGTTAAGCGTCTGCCTTCGGCTCAGGTCATGATCCCAGGTCCTGGGATCGAGCCCCACGTCGAGCTCTCTGCTCAGCAGGCAGGCCTGCTTCTCCCTCTCCCACTCCCCCTGCTTGTGTTCCCTCTCTCGCTGTGTCTCTCTCTGTCAAATAAATCAAATCTTTTAAAAAAATAATAAAAATAAATTAGGAAGAGTCGGGGTGCCCTGCTCCGCGGGGAGCCTGCTTCTCCCTCTCCCACTCCCCCTGCTTGTGTTCCTGCTCTCGCTATCTCTCTGTCAAATAAATAAAATCTTAGAAAAAAAAAGGGGGCGCCTGGGTGGCTCAGTCGGTTAAGCGACTGCCTTCAGCTCAGGTCATGATCCCAGGGTCCTGGGATCGAGCCCCCATCTGGCTCCCTGCTTGGTGGGAAGCCTGCTTCTCCCTCTCCCACTCCCCCTGCTTGTGTTCCCTCTCTCGCTGTGTCTCTGTCAAATAAATAAATAAAATCTTAAAAAAAAAAGACAAAAAGGGGCGCCTGGGTGGCTCAGTCGGTTAAGCGTCTGCCTTCGGCTCAGGTCATGATCCCAGGGTCCTGGGATCAAGCCCCGCATCGGGCTCCCTGCTCCGCGGGAAGCCTGCTTCTCCCTCTCCCTCTGCCGCTGCTTCCCCGGCTTGTGCTCTCTCTGTCTTTGACAAATAAGTAAAATCTTAAAAAAAAAAAAAAAAAAAAGAAAGAAAGAAAGAAAAGAGAAGCCTTAGAATGGGAGAAAAAGGGATGCCTGGGTGGCTCAGTCATTAAGCGTCTGCCTTCGGCTCAGGTCATGATCCCAGGGTCCTGGGATTGAGTCCTGCATCGGGCTCCCTGCTCTGCGGGGAGCCTGCTTCTTCCTCTTCCTCTGTCCCTCCCCCCACCACTTGTGCTCTCTTTCAAATAAGTAAATAAATAATCTTTAAAAAAAAAAAAAAGCATCTGCCTTCGGCGCAGGTCATGGTCTCAGGGTCCCGGGATCGAGCCCCGCATCGGGCTCCCTGCTCCGCGGGAAGCCTGCTTCTCCCTCTCCCACTCCCCCTGCTTGTGTTCCCTCTCTCGCTGTGTCTCTCTGTCAAATAAATAAATAAAATCTTAAAAAAAAAAATTAAAAAAAAAGACTGGAATTTGTAAAATTCTGCATGAGGCCACCAGACACAGGAGCCATTTTTCAGAATTTGATCAGCAGACCGTCCCTTTAAGGGAGATTGCCCCTTTGTCCCCTGCCTTGCTGTCTTGCTGACCTGGGGTGTGACCTCTTGTGCCCCCTCAGCCTCATCTGCCCCTCTGTTCTGCTGCAGCTCCCCAGTTCTCCTATGTCCCTTTCAAGGTTCCCAGCCTGGTCGACCCTGCACGCTGCCACAAGTGTGCCCCTGGCTGCAGCCAGGGAGGGATTCGGGGATTGGAAAAGCCTCGAGTTTGCTCAGGGTTTCCTTTCTGCTCCTGTTCTGACAGTCTTTCACCCTGGGTTCCTCCTACTCCATTTTCACACCTGTGCTCCCCTCCTGCCTGCTCAGCTCGGGGCCTGCTGCGTTTGGTGCAGGACCTGCCCTCCGTCCCTGTCCCTTCCGCACCTCCTGTGTCCTTCCTCCACCTCCTGCCCCTCCCCCACCTTCCTCCTCCTCCCCTTCCTCTATCTCCCTTGTCCTTTCTTTTCCTCCCTTCCTCCCCCATTTTCCTTCTCATCTTCCTCCCCCTTCCTCCTCCTCCTTTCCTGCCTTAGCCACAGGCCCCCTCAACTCCATTTATCACAGGTGATTTGATGAGCACAGTGCTCATGAGGCCATTTTGCAGGAATATGAGAACAAGCACAGCCCTTTTAGTGTATTGCTCAGTTTAAAGGTAGTATCTTCCCAATGACAGTACTTTTAGTTCTTACATTGGGTACATTTGTACCCTAAAACAAAACACTGAAATGCTTTTTTATTGTAAAATAGAATGTACCTATAGAATGCACAAACATTCATGTGCTTCGAGGATTGATTAGGAAGCAAATCTATACGTGAGCAGCTCCTGGTCAGGAAGTTGCCAAGTGGCCAGTACCCCAGAGTGACACTTGCTCCTCCATCCCCTTGCAGAGTGACCATTATTCCAACCTCGGAATTACAGTCTTCTTGCTTTTCTCTACAGTTTGCATTATGTGTACATTTATTAAATAATATGGTTAATTTTGCTTGATTTTGAATTTTAAGTAAATGGTGTAATACTGCGTCTTGCATCTTTCACTCAGCATGTGTCTGTGAGTTATTTGTGTTGGTGTAGCTGTGCTTTAGTTTCACTGGTGACTGGCACTGACCGTAGTGACTTAGACGATTTATCCATTCTGGCATCCCAGACATCGGCTGGTTCTGTTTGAATGCTGCTGCCTTGAGCATTTCTGTATGTCTTCTGGTGCACACGTGCAGGACTCTTCCCCAGTGGGTAAAATTGCTGCGTCTTAGGGATGTGTATCCTCAGGCTACTGGATGATGCCCAGAGTGTGTGCCCTTGTGGGGCTTGCCAGTATTTCCCCACTGACTCACGGGGTTCCTGGGCCTGTATGTAGCATCTCTGTTGCCTGTTCCCATCTCTTGCCCATTTCACTGTTAGGTGTTCTGTCTTTTTCTTTTCTTTTCTTTTTTTAAAGACTTTATTTATTTGACAGAGAGAGACACAGCGAGAGAGGGAACACAAGCAGGGGGGAGCAGGAGGGGGAGAAGCAGGCTTCCCGTGGAGCAGGGAGCCCGATGCGGGGCTCGATCCCAGGACCCCGGGATCATGACGTGAGCCAAAGGCAGATGCCCAACAACTGAGCCACCCAGGCACCCCTGTCTTTTTCTTTCTTGTTTGTGGGAGTTGCTTTATGTAAATTTAAACTGTGTTCTTTGCTTCAGGATGACGTGATGATGCCTCAGAGGGTGAGACTACAACTGGAAGCTGCTGCCCAGCACCCGACAAGTGTGAGTCCTGCATCTGTCCCCAGCATGTGTGTGTCCTGCGTCTGTCCCCAGCACGTGTGTGTCCTGCATCTGTCCCCAGCACGTGTGTGTCCTGCATCTGTCCCCAGCATGTGTGTGTCCTGCGTCTGTCCCCAGCATGTGTGTGTCCTGCGTCTGTCCCCAGCACGTGAGTCCTGCGTCTGTCCCCAGCATGTGTGTATCCTGCGTCCGTCCCAGTGCGTGTGAGTCCTGCATCTGTCCCCGGTGTATCCTGCGTCTGTCCCAGCGCACGCGAGTCCTGCATCTGTCTCTGAGTTGCCGTCCCCTTTGAGGAAGCACCGTTGCTGCTGTTTGTGTTGAGCCTCTTCCATAGGGTAAGACTGCCCCATCAGAGCGTGATCAGTGACTGCTGTGTCTCTGGACACTCCCACTGCTCCTGAGAAGGAAAACGTGCCTTTTATCTGGGGCAGCACGCTTTGCTTTCAATGGGCACAGAGGTCTCCTTGGTTTAGTTTTATTTTCATCAGCATTTCGGAGGCTATGTGCCCGGGACATGGAAACCAGGCTGAGCACTCTCATGCGTTAGCAGATTCAAGGGTTATCTTATTACCTGGAAAACCTCAGACTGCAGCTCTCAACTTCGGAAGGGCTCCCCAGTTGGTCCGTCTCCCTGGGCACTCATCTCCCGATGAGGAGGCCCACGTGGACCCGGAGGGCGTTGCGGGCCCAGGGTCACTCACCCCTGGTGGCTGACCCCCAGAGCCTGGGTCTGACCCTGGCGCCCACTGCTCAGACATCTGCCTGAAGTTTTAGTAAAAATGTCTGAATTACTGTGATGATCACTGATTTAGAAAGTGTGAAACAGAAAGGTCTGCAGGACTACGTTCAAACCACAGTGCCAACTATCCCAGTGGACGGCCCCCCTCTTCCCCGGCTCCAGGCTCTGCTTGCTCTTGCCGTGTGCCCTGTCCACACCCGCATGAAGCTTCTCCAGTGTCTCGTGCACACCAGCTCCCGGGGATCTGAATCTGGGCATCAGGTGGGGCCTGAGCTCAGCATTTCCACACGCTCTGGGTGCTGGAGGGCTCGGGCCATCCCCCAGACCGTCCCTGGGCTGTCCCCCAGACCGTCCCCCAGGCCATCCCCAGACCGTCCCCAGACTGCCCCCAGTCCGTCCCCAGGCCATCCCCCAGACCGTCCCTGGGCCATCCCTCAGGCTGTCCCCAGGCCATCCCCAGGCTGTCCCCAGACCATCCCCGGGCCATCCCCCAGACCATCCCCCAGGCCATCCCCAGACCGTCCCCTGGGCCATCCCCAAGGCCATCCTCAGCCCGTCCCCAGATTGTCCCCAGACCATCCCAGGCCATCCCCAGACCATCCCAGGCTGTCCCCCAGACTGTCCCCAAACTGTCCCCAGGCCATCCCTGGGCCATCCCCAGACTGTCCCCAGGCCATTCCCCCAGGCCATCCCCAGACTGTCCCCAGGCTGTCCCCCAGACCGTCCCCCAGGCCATCCCCAGACCTTCCCCCATGCCATCCCTATACCGTCCCCAGGCCGTCCCCCCAGGGTGTCCCCAGACCGTCCCCACGTTGTCCCCCCAGGCTGTCCCCAGACCGTCCCCACGTTGTCCCCCAGGCCATCCTCAGGCCGCCCGCAGGCCATCCCCAGACTGTCTCCAGGCCGTCCCCAGACCATCCCCAGACCGTCCCTGTACCATCCCCCAGGTCGTCCCCAGACCATCCCTGGACCATCCCCCGGGCCGTACCCCAGGCCATCCCCAGACTGTCCCTAGACAGTCCCCGGGTGTGTGTAGAGCCCATTCCTGGGACAGGCGGGGCTTAGCAGGCCATCCTCGGGAAACCTGCATGGTGTGAGGTGCTCAAGGAGGGGAGGCTCAGAAGTGCACAACACGACAGAATTTCCAAGGAGCTTGAATGACTTGTTCACAGAGATGAATTCGTTCTCTTCCAATGGCCCTTTGTTTTGGAGCTTTGGATTTAGTGCACTGACTTTCTGCTGCTTTCTCCAGCTGCCCAGCCCCACACACGACGCTGTGACTCGGGGTCTTTGGCTGCTGGTCAGCCCTGTAAACACGTGCACACGCTCCCCCATGAGGGCTCTTGTCCTCAGGGATGTGAGGCGTGTTGGTGTTGTTAGATGCTGAAGGTTCCTAGTCCCTGAATTGCAACTACACTTGTGTTGCTTAAAGTTACACATTTTTAATGTAAGCATGTCCTTGAAACATGCCCGTAAAAAGATAAAAAATGGCCCCTCAGCTGCATCTTGAGAAGCTACTACACTGCTCTTTGGGCTGGAAGCTTCCGGAAGGTGGGACGTGTGGGAGGTTCAGAAGTGCCCAGTCGCACTCCGTTGAGAAGTGGCCCCTCGGCTGAGGTCATGTCATGAGGGCCAGTGTGTGTCCTGGGGTCCTGACGGCAGGGGTCTGATGTCACCAGCTGCTGTAACCCTCAGGCGAGTGGGAAGCCAGCCCCACAGCTTCCTCGTGAGCACTCTCTGCTAGAATGGGACCGGCCGCATCGTCCAGGAAGTCAGCTGGTCATGGGCCTGAGTCATGGCTGCAAAACCTCTTCCCGGCAGCACATAGCCGAGTGTTTGAGGAACTGCAGACGCACGCTCCCAAGTGGGCACAAAACTGACCGTGACAGACGGAAGGCAGCATGTGGCCAGTGCTGCCAAGGTCTGAGCCGGAGCCCAGAGCGTGAAGGAGGTGGGAGACAGTGCGGCGTCTGAGGGTGTGAACCCTGGGGGGCGCGAGGGGCGCCTTCATAGGAGCTGCGGGGCCTGCGTGCAGCTCTGTGTCGTTCACCAGATCCTGACAGTAGACGGGAGCGGCAAAGTTTAAGAACCACAGATATGGGGGCGCCTAGGTGGCTCAGTCGTTAAGCGTCTGCCTTCGGCTCAGGTCATGATCCCAGGGTCCTGGGATCGAGCCCCGCATTGAGCTCTCTGCTCGGCAGGAAGCCTGCTTCTCGCTCTCCTACTCCCCCTGCTTGTGTTCCTGCTCTCGTTATCTCTCTCTCTGTCAAATAAATAAAATCTTAAAAAAAAAAAAAGATTCCCTCTCTCCCACTGCCCCTATCCACTCCCTCTCTTAAAAAAAAAAAAAAGGGAAGGGGCGCCTGGGTGGCTCAGTCGTTAAGCGTCTGCCTTCAGCTCAGGTCATGATCCCAGGGTCCTGGGATCGAGCCCCGCATCGGGCTCCCTGCTCGGTGGGAAGCCTGTTCTCCCTCTTCCACTCCCCCTGCTTGTGTTCCCTCTCTCGCTGTGTCTCTCTCTATCAAATAAATAAATAAAATCTTTAAAAAAAAAAAAAGAACCACAGATATGTGCAAATACGTGTATCCCTAGCCCTCGGCCCCCACAGAGTCCAGGAGATGCCCGTTAGACGTCCACAGTCATAGACTCTGGAATCTCTGGCGCTTTCTGGTTGGAAGTGAAAAGATGTCAGAAGATGCTGTGACATCCAGTGTCGGCAGGTCAGCAGCTCCTCCTGGGAGCCGTGGGGCGGGTCGTCCAGCCCTGGGTCCTGTCCCCCCAGCAGGGCCCCCGGTGCCCTGCAGGGGTCCCCACCCTCCCTCCAGGGGGGCTGACGGGAGCTCTCAGCCACATGGCAGGAGAGATCAGATGCACAAACAGTGTCGTTGGCCCCGTTTCCCTGTTGGGAAGAGGAAAAAGAATGGAAAGAAGTGTGTTTGGGTGGGCTTCTGTTCAGTTTCCGTCGGTAAGGAAGATGGAGAGACTGGGGTTTCCAGAAGCTTCTTTCACTGGCTCTGGCAGCTGTGATGTCAAGATCTCAGACGAGCACCCCAGTTTTCCCCAGGATGAGACCTCACTCCCCACGAGGACTGTACCAGCTTTCCTTGTGGTCCACTTGGCACGGAGCACGTGGCCCGCGAAGCTGCAGCCGGTGCTCGTGCCCTGTGGACAGACAGCGCAGCCTCAGACGCTGCACCTTTCAGACAGTGATGCTCGTACAGCGGGCGTTTAAAATAGGCTGTGCACGGAAACTTCTGAAGAGTTGGTCACCAGTGTTGACGGTTTAGAGAGTGAGAGACGTTCAGATATGTTGTGTTCCCTACTGGAAAAAAACCACAATTTACTTCTTCAATGGAATTGTTTGGGGTGGCTCTTTGTGCGTAGGCGCAAATGGACCACCAAGTCTAGGGATGCATAAGGAATTTGGGAAAAAGGCATACTGTGTCATTTCATCTTAATCTGAATTGAAGCAACGCTGATTTGCAGTTTTATAAGTTTTATTAAGTTCTAGGTTAGAGTTTTTCTTGCTAACCTTATAATTCAATTCACTTGATGTTCTGTTCCCACACTCAGGAGAAGCTGCCTGCTCGCGCTGCATTTTTGTCCCAGCCACGCAGAGGGACTGGGTGACCCGTGTGGTTGCTCCTGCATTAAGCATAGACTAGGGATGTCACAAGTCTTGTTGACCCGGAGCAAAATCAGCAGGGTTGTTGCTGCGGGGCTGGGTTGTTTTCTTTTCTTTTCTTTTTTTAAATCATGACCTACAAAAATCTTAATTTGCAGTTGCTGGTTGGTTGTCAATTATGTTGTAGGTTGTTTGGAAAGAATGAAATGAATGCTAAATGTATGCTTGTCGTCGGTCATAATTTTTTAAGGCCATTTACAAGGAAACCATATAATTACGAAGGAAAGGCCCTTGGTGACACTTCATATACCGGGCCATTGCCTGTTTACTGCAGAACTTTTGGGGTGTCTGATGTCGGGTGCCACGAGGCAGCTCCCAGCATAACATCCATCCAGCCACTGACTGGACATTGCCGAGTGGAGGTCAGCTCTGGGACAGGCATTGGGGTGAGTCAGGGACCGACTGTTTCTGGCCTGGGCCTTCCCTGTGGGAGTCTCCTGCGCAGAGGGGGAGAGCTGTGAGTGCGTGGTTTCAGGAAGGCAGGAAGAAGGTGGGGGTGCCCCGCAGGAGAAGCGGGAGCACCTTGCAGAGGTGTGTGTATCCTACAGCTTTTCCAGC